GGCTGGGGGGGGGTCACCCGGACACCTGGGTCCTTCCCGGCGCCTCGGACCCTCCCCCCTTAAACACACATGGGGGAGCACAATGGGGGAGGGGCGGTGCCCGGACGCCGGGGCCCTCGGTCGAGGTGGCTGCCCAGAAACCCGGACTCTCGGTCGTGGGCGAAGGGGGGGCCCGGACGCCTGGGCCCTCGGTGGGGGCACCCGGACCGCGTAGTCGTGGCGGGGGGGGCACCCGGACGCCTGGGCCCTTGGTGGGGGCCCCTGGGCGCCCCGCGGTCAGCCGGCAGGGGCGGGGGAGGGCGCCCGGACGCCTGGGCCCTCAGCGGGGGCGCCCGGGCTCACAGTGGGGGGCCCGCGGTGCCGGCGGCCCCGGGGGTCCCTATGGCTTCGGTGTCGGGGTCCCCCCGGCCGGGCCGGCAGCGCCTGCGGGGGGGGGAGCAGCGCCCAGTGTGGCCCAGTATGAACCAGCACGGGGCACGATGGACCAGTGCCCCCCCGGGTCCTCCCCTTGCCCCCCCCCCAGCTCCCAGTGCCCCCAACATCTCCCCCCTCCTCCCAGGATCTCCCAGTCCCTCCCAGTATCTCCTGGTCCCTCCAGTCCCTCCCAGTATCTCCCAGTCCCCCTGGTTCCTCCCCCAGCATCTCCCAGGTCCCTTCAGCCCTTCTGGACCCCCCAGTCTCCCCAGTATCTCCCAGTCCCTCCCAGCATCTCCCAGTTCCCCCAGTCCCTCCCTCCCAGTTGCCCCCAGTCCCTTCCCACCCCTCTCGGACCCCCCAGTCTCCCAAGTTTCTCCCAGTCTCTCCAGTCTCTCCAGTGCACCCAGTTCCCTGCAGTTCTCCCAGTATCTCCCAGTCGGTCCCAGTCGGTCCCGGCTCCATGCTCACCCTCACTCGCCACCCGGCTCCATCACGGCTGCTTTCTTGGACACGAGGCTGCCCAGGGCCTTTTCCTGCGGCGTCGCACAGGGCCCCCTTGCACCCCCCTTGCACGCCCCTTGCACACCCACCTTGCACCCCCCTTGCACACCCACCTTGCACCCCCACCCATGCACACACCCCTCTGCACACACACCTAGCTCCGCTTGCACACCCTGGTGCAGCTTGCACACCTTGCACACTATGGTGCACGTTGCACGACTCAGTTTGCACACCCTGGTGCAGCTTGCACGCCACGTTGCATCTTGCACACCAATGTGCAGCTTGCACAGCACAGCTTGCACACTACATTGCAGCTTGCGTACCTTGCACACCAGCTTGCACAGCATTCCTTGCACACCACGTTGCACCTTGCACACCAATGTGCAGCTTGCACAACACAGCCTGCATGCCACGTTGCACCTTGCACAGCACAGTACATCTTGCACACCACGCTGCACCTTGCACACCACGTTGCATCTTGCACACCAATGTGCAGCTTGCACAGCATTCCTTGCATGCTGCGTTGCACCTTGCACACATTGCACCTTGCACACCATGCTGCACCTTGCACACCACGTTGCATCTTGCACACCACGCTGCACCCTGCACACCTGGCACACTGTGGTGCCCACCGAGCGCCCCGTGTCCCCCATGTCCCCCATGTCCCCCCATGTCCCCCATGTCTCCCATGTCACCC